TTTAAGAGAAGAAAATTGTACTCTCAAAATTCAATTTCTATGATTAAACATTTTTATAATGATGAAATACTATAAATGAGCAATTTTTTATATTACATTTGGTATATAAAAATTAATTGCTAACAAATAAATTTAAACACCCATTAAATTTTTAGATACATGAATATGAATAAGTTCATTCATAATAATTATATATTCATATAATCTAAGATTCATCAAGTGAAAATTCATTGAATATAGATTAATGTTAATGTTAATTAATTAAAAATTAATAAAAGAAATTTCATAAACGACAATAATTTTATATTATTTATTAAATATTGAAAAACGAAAAAGTAAGGTATTATTGAAATAATTAAATTTTAGGGGGGGTTAAAATCGTCCAAAAAATGATTCTCCCCTGATATAATATTTTAATATCTTATAAATATAGTTTATAGATATATATTCAACGGTTTTTTTTTTAATTTCCTTTTCATATTTTTTCTAACACAAATACCAGTTGGACTCGAACAATATACGTAAAATTGGCATGATTTAAATTTAAATTTACTAGTGAATCAGCAACTTTTCCATGCCAATGGACATTGTGACTAACTATTTGGGTGTACATGGAGTGCTATTGATAACTATAATACCTCAAAATCTCACCTTTAAGATGGGACAAATAAAAACTTCCCCGTACATAAAGCATAGAACAACAGTATCAGCGTCTAATAGTCCATCAAAGTCTATGGATTGCGTGTATATAGACAAGCTAATAAGATATTGTATTACTAACCAGTTGTAGCAGCAATTCATTATTTGGAAAAATAGAGTTTTAGGTTAATTTTTTCTATATATTTTGAAATATAACGATCAATTTGTCTCTCAAAAATAATCGACAAACATAGATCTTAAAATCAATCTCCCTCTACACACATTTACAATTCTACAAATTTGCACCCATTAGTTATGTTTAATTTACAAAATGCACACTATACACAGGGGTGTGATATAATTTTATGTACCTTATTTTATAAATTTATATTTTACATAACATAATTGTTAGAAAAAATTACATTTCGTTGAAAATTTTACAAATATGTCATCATAACAGCTAAACTAACAAAAGATCCTTACTGAAAGAACAAATCGTACCCTTGTTGATTTTTTATTTTGTGTAAAATTTATTATCTTCTTCCTAGAGCCTGTTTGAGAGTGATTTTGAAAATTAATTTTTTGACCATTAGGAGAAAAGTGGGGTCCACCTGTGAGAGAAAAAATCAAATATGACGGCTCGAATAGTGAAATAATGGTCAAAAAATCAATTTTTTGGTGAAAAAATCGGGCCCAAACAGCCCCTAGTAAAATCAAACATCAAATCAATAAACATTAATTTTGGTAATTTAACAAAAATATTGGAAAAATTAGAAAATACTTCAGTTGACTCTTCTAGCATTTGTAAAAATAGACAAAAAAAAAATAAAAAATAAAATTCTAATCACTATATTCTAATTAATCAAATTAGGTCAATGAATAAAATTTTAAAAATTCAATTGACATATTTTTATATGAAATATTTTTTGTAGCTAAAATCAACTTCTTGTCCATTTTAAGTTGGTGTATTTTTGCAACTTAAAAATTGTTAAAAATTGTATGGCGAGTTTTTATATGTATTGCAGACGAATATTTTCTTTTCTGCATGAAGGCTTCATCGAAGATAATAATCTATAAATATAAGTAAAAAAAAATATAATTCTATGTGAAAAATAAAAATATGTATATGATACACCGAGAGGAATCAACTGTATGTTAATTTATGGAGGGATAAAGAAAAGAGAAAGAAAAAAAAAATATTTCAGAAGGATAAAAATAGTTATAAATTTCGTATGTAAAGTATTATATAATGTAATACAAATGGTGTGATTTATTATTCTTAATTATGGATATGTTGGACTAGTTATGGAAAAAATTGTAATTTTTTTAGCAAAAGTAGTCTTTTGCTACCATATTGTAAAATCTAACATTAAAATGTAAATTTAGAAAATATGGTTTATAAAGTTTAAATCATTTTTTTAAAAATCAACTTAAAAAGATAAAGGGTCAATGGTCAAAATGTTGAACTAGAATCGAACCGATGATTTTTAAAAAATTAAAAAATATATATATATAATGGACTAAATCAAAAACGGGGTCACAGATTTTCTAAAAATCAACCGATTTAATGGGATTTGGAGCAGTTTTTAATTAGAGGTTTTATCAGCATAATTGGATCAATTTTGGTCCCGATTCCCGATTTTTGTTTGAATCGGCTGAGCCGATTTGATTTTTAAAAAATCGGTTTAAATACACCCTAAATAGAAATTGTATACAAACTTGATTGTAGAGAAGATTTCATATATGAGAGTTTAAATTTCATTGTGACGGCTGTGAACTATCAACACCATAAGCGCTGGCGCAAACCACCAATACCATCAACAACGCCACTCGCATATGGCAGCGCCTTCGAACGACAAACATCACTACAAGCAATGTGATAGAGATACGACTTCTGTGCGTATCGCGATAGAGAGAAGGCATCATCACCATATCATGTAGCAGCAGATCGCATTGGGCGACAACTTCTGATGATTGCAACAAAAAGAGGATAGCAGGTGGGGTAAGGAGAGAAAATAGATAATAAAAAGGATGAAAATGACTAAGTTTTTGGGTGTGGTGATATATATATATATATATATATATATATGGAAATAGCCAAGTTAACGATAAAAGAATAGGAGAGCCTCTCCTTAAAGTGTCATCCAACGGGACATCTTGAATATGAAAGGAGAAAGAGATATCATCCTTCAAAACTGTCATTTCTATCAACGATACCACCAAATAGTAAATCGATTTAGGGAAAAAAAAATGAAATGCCAATATTGGAATTTCTCCCATCTCGATCAAGCGAGTCATCCTTGATTTGATAGTTCAATTTTTCGATGATGATGGCTGATTGGGATCCCAACAGTCAAAGCACTATGTTCATTCATCGCCCTCCTTCCAATCAAATCTATAATAAGGTATTGCAAGTTAAATTCTAAAGGCAAGATGGGAAGGTACTAGCTTGAAACATATAGGGGCAGCAACCCCTTATTAGTTTAATAAAATAAAACGTCAAAAAAGAGAGATTAACCTGCTGTGTATATATGAATAAATTTTTTGGAGTTATAATATAATTATTAATTATTATGGTGTATTTATAATTAAGGGCATTATTGTTGAAAGCAAAAATATATAAGGACAAAAGTGAAAATCAAATGTTTCCTGTACATCTGATATTTGAAAAGAAAACTTGTAAATCTTAATTTTGAATAAGGAAGTTTAAAACTCTTGTTGGCTGTATTTTCCACTTGACTGTATTGCTTTGGGTCCGGGAAGTGAAGGAATCTAGCCATTTTTCACCTCAACTCTCGAAATATGGATAATTGCTTTGCACTTGACTAGCTCTCAACATCACTAGTGTTTTCCCTAAAATTCATAAGACTACAACAGCTACTCGAAAGATGAGGTATATGGCAATAGCCAAGTTAACGATAAAAGAATAGGAGAGCCTCTCCTTAAAGTCTCATCCTACGGGCACATCTTGAATATGAAAGGAGAAAGAAATATCACCCTTCAAAACTGTCATTTCTATTCAAAACGATACCACCCAACTAGTAAATTGATTTAGGGAAAAAAAAATGAAATGCCAATATTGGAATTTCTCCCATCTCGATCAAGCGAGTCATCCTTGATTTGATAGTTCAATTTTTCGATGTTGATGGCTGATTGGGATCCCAACAGTCAAAGCACTATCTTCATTCATCGCCCTCCTTCCAATCAAATCTATAATAAGGTATTGCAAGTTAAAATCTAAAGGCAAGATGGAAAGGTCCTAGCTTGAAACATATAGGGGCAGCAACCCCTTATTAGTTTAATAAAATAAAACGTCAAAAAAAGAGAGATTAACCTGCTATGTATATATGAATAATTTTTTTGGAGTTATAATATAATTATTAATGATTATGGTGTATTTATAATTAAGGGCATTATTGTTGAAAGCAAAAATATATAAGGACAAAAGTGAAAATCAAATGTTTCCTGTACATCCACTGTTTTCATTCTCTTAATTTTGAAATGCTTAAAATATTATTATTAATCACATAAGTACGTGTACTCACGCCTCCACACTAAATCATTCCTCCGTATCATGGTCCTGTTTTAGTGTAATTAAACTCAATTTTTCAGTAAATTTTAATAAAAATTGATGAAATATGAGTTGAATTCCAAAAATGGAAAGTTCGACACAATTGATTTTATTTTATTATTTTTTTTTTTTTTGGGAATTGGATCCAATAGTACCTATTTTAGGAACGTCCAATGCCCAAGTCACTGAATTGATAAACCAAGTTGTAAATAAATGAAATATGTAGTTAAAATTAATTGTTGTTTTTAATTTAACATTTGTAGTAGATTTTAATCTACATCATTATATAAGGATAAATTTCACTGTAGGTCCCTAATCTTTTTTATTTATGTGGTGATTTCATTTCCTTATCTATTTTTTTATCCTTTCCATAGGAAAAATAAAAGGCTCAGGGATGGGGGAGAGGATAAAAAAGATTGAGGATGAAATGTTCATAAATTGAAAAGATTGGGGATCCAGAGTGAAAATTACAATATATAAAATTGGGACGGACGTGTCAGGATTATAATATGCGCAAATACGGGAAGGGAAAAAGGGGGGAAAAAAAAAGGAAAAAGGAAAACTCTGTAGGATCTCTCTGGGCAGTGGGTTGTATATTTTGTTGGATTTCAAATTAAGCTGCAGGTTTGTAATTACTTTCAATTTCATATTTCAAGTATGAAAAAGAGGATAAAAAAGATTGAGGATGAAATGTTCATAAATTGAAAAGATTGGGGATCCAGAGTGAAAATTACAATATATAAAATTGGGACGGACGTGTCAGGATTATAATATGCGCAAATACGGGGAAGGGAAAAAAAAAAAGGAAAAAGGAAAACTCTGTAGGATCTCTCCGGGCAGTGGGTTGTATATTTTGTTGGATTTCAAATTAAGCTGCAGGTTTGTAATTACTTTCAATTTCATATTTCAAGTATGAAATAGTAATTCTCAATCATATCTTAAATTCTACTTAATTTTGTTAGACTTTCTGTTCGGAGGTTAATTAATGGAACAAATCATGGGCGTGTTTAATAATTAAGCCATTTATGTTCCTGTTATCATTCCTTTTTTCCCCCCTGTTAATAAAGAATGGGGTTTTCAATTCGTTATCAAACATATAAAAAAAATAAAAATTGATAATCATGCTGCTGGACCCGTGAAATATAAATGGTTTGATTAAGAAATAAATAAAATCTGATTCCTAATCTAATTTAAGTAGTTTGAAATTGGTGTGTATTGTACTGGGATTTAACTTTCTTCACGAATGTTGCAGGAAAAGTAGGATTAGAGATGGTATTATCATCTGGGAGCAATGCTAGTGAAGCTGTAAAACTGTGTGTGTTTGATTTGAGAAGGGGGCAAAATGAAGGTGAGGAGCTGGACAAGATTCTCTTCTTCCATCCTGCTGATTTGCCATTTACCACTCAGCTCTCTGTCATTGGCCTCAGCGAAGGACTCATCACTTTCACTAGGTTATTACTTGGACGCTCATTTTTACATGTATACTTTCTGAATTTACTTTCACATAATTATGATGCTAAGTTACATGCTACCAAAGGGAGAAAATTCTGGCCATGGTGTTATGAGTGTTTGAACTTAACTTGTTTTAACTCTTTACTAAGTTTGTTTTGCTGAAGCCTTAGTTTTTCCTGCATTAACGTGACTGCATGTTATTGGGGTCATTTGACTCAAGTGAGCATTCCATGTGAACTGGAGAGTTTGAGAGATAATTGGACTTTGTCTTCTCTGTCTCTCATTGTTGGATTGGATTGGTTTGGTCTTGCGTATCCACAACAAACAATGGTATCTTGTGGTTTCTTCTTCAGTTCTTCGTGGCCAAAGCTGCAAAGAGAGTTATCCGTTTAGAAGCTGCAGAGAGGATGTTGTGGTGGATATTATCAAAATAAATTTATTTCTTCAGTTTTTCATCCTTGATAATATATACAGATCTTCAACTGTTATTAATGACTTTTAAGTTATATTTGAGTAAAAAGAGACATCCTTCAAATTGGCGTGAAAAAGAAAAGTTAAAAGAAGGAATAGCCTTATAGTCTCATAATTTGAACCTAAAGCATTTACTTGTTAATATTCTCCATAATATAGATAAGAAATTTCATTAAAATTACTTAACATTATAGCTATTGCCATAAAGTTAGCAGTAAACCACAATACTGTGGGACGGGAGGCTGCAATTGATGTTCAGGTTGGTCTTTAGGTACTATTTTTTATTCTTAAATGTGATAAATTTGATAATTTTCTTTTGTCCCTTATGGGAAGATGGCATTTGCTTTGCTTTCATTTCCTCTGACATATAAACTGTTATTAGTTTACTATTTTCTACTTATATAAGTAAACTGGGTATGCTTACTAATCATTGAGGCTTTTCACTTGGAAAGGAAATCAATTGGAAGGAAGAAATTAGCTCTCTTGTTAAAAAAAATTCTGCCCAGAGATAATGGTTAAGAGTACATGTTGGGTGTTAGTCTCTGACTTGATATATTAAGTATTATTAGATTCATATTTTACAAAATAATGCAATATTGCATGATTTATCAGGGATATATGGGATAATAGACGTTTAAGTCCAACCTTCCATTCTTTGGAAATAAGTACTAGCTGCAACTTTCTGGGTTGCTAAGTTCCAATTTTTTGAGAAATATTTCAAACAAGTCTTACATACTTACCATGACTCTGTCAAGATTTCTTATTTAAACCTTTTCTGAAGATTGAATTCTATATTGGGTTCTCTTTCATAAATTGTGGAGTAATTTTAAATGAATGAATTCTCACAAGTAAGAGTGGACACAGTCCAGTTTCGAAGGAAACCGAATTGAACCGAGTACCAATAAAAATTTTAGAAATAGAACAATTAGTTACATGTGCAACTATGGAACTAAACCACAATCGAACCAACGGGTTCTGATCCAGTTCGATTTTTTTATTAAAAAGTTATAAAAATAAAGTATGGAACTACTTGTCATGTTGAAAATAGACAAAAATTGAGTATGAAACCACCCGTCATTCTTGTATTTTAATAATAAAAAATCAATTAAACAAGAAAACGAGCAAAAATCCAACTCCAATGTTCAAGATCAATTGATAAAGTCGAAAAAAACTATTAAGCATCATCATAATCTATAAAATCCGAATCAAAAATTAATTATTAAGAAAATTTATACAATAATATATATTGAAAAATACATGTAGCGTTTATAACCTCATTAACTTCAATAATTCTCAAGGAGAAGATTATGATCTTGATGGTCGCCAATTTGGGAACAAGAAGAATATTGAATTCTTACGAAAGATTGAATTAAAAATATATTTTTTCTTATTGGAGTTCCATTAAAGCTATGAATTTATGAAGTATTTATAAAATCATTTAGATTTGGATTTTGATTACCCCCATTAGACTTTGCAGCAAAGGAAAGAAGAAGCGTGTTCAAACATTTGGCGCATCTTGGTGCAATGTACTGGCAAAAAAGGGAATTCAGGAGAGAAAAATTCATAATTGGTTCTCAAGGTAGCATCGAGAATCGAATTATAACTAATCGGTTCTCAGCACATAGTCCCGTCGCAAAGCCAACCCATTTAGTAGAGGAACCGGAGCTAGACCGGCCGATTCTATTTGAATCTGGTCCAGTTCCACCTGTTTCAAGAAAAAAATTGCCTATCCTCACTTATAAGACTCGATGACATCTTCACAGACACAAGAATAGAGTCACGAAGTTTTGAGTCATAACCCTTAATTTCTTTCACTCTAATGATTATTTAATGATCAGGAAAAGCAAATCTTTGGTCGTAGATGATTGGTAATGTTTGATTACTTGCTAAAATTTAAGGGAAAAAAATATTAAAAAGAAAATCCTATGGACACACATTATTTTTTGATAAATCCTATCGACACACATTATGTTTGGTAGGAGTTTGAAGTTCGAAGTAACAAGAGTTTACTCTATGCATAGAACAATGCATTACACATAAGTTGTTGTAAAAGGGGAAGTTGATGCAAGATATTTTTGGGATTTTGTTTTCTTTTTATGGAAGTATCTAAAAAATTGGGTCTTTCCTATTAAATTCTTATTGAAGTAAAAGTAGGACTTCCCGGTACACAGTTAGGAGATAAACTGTGTTTAAAGGAAAAGTACGGCTGTGGTGTAATTTCTCAAATAACACTGCCGTTTTATACATTTGAATTTTCTGTGCTTCGTTTCAACTATGCTGTTGGCTAACATAGTAAGCTATTGAAAAATCTTTTTTATTTTTCACCTTGTATCTTGTTCTGCAGTCACTTGTCAGAGTATTAGAATCCTGTGCTGGGAACTCAAAGTGCTACTCGCTTACAATGTTCCAGGACCTGCTGGTGTCCACAACACTCTCTCCTGTACGGTTTGATGTTTTGTTCTCATTTCTTCTACATTTCCCCTCTTAGCATCAGGAAGAGGACGAAAAACATTTCACCCTTCAGATGTAGCTAAATTCGGTGAGATGCCTGGGATTGATCTAAATTTAGATAGGGCATAACACTATTTATTCCTTTTTGTCAGGATGACACCGTAAACCTTTTTACATATGCTGTCCTAAGGTTAACCCCTCAAGCTCTATCCTCCATGGCAAGTTCTTGGTCCTATCTGCATAAAGAAAGCACTGCGTGTAATACTTCTGCGGGAGCTGTAATGGCAAATTCTAGTCCAAGTGTAGATCAATATTATAATTCAGGTGATACATCCCCAATCGGAAATCGCAGTTATCATGTTGTGAGGCCCTTGCAGCATGACAAATGGTCTAAGGGGAAGGATGGTTTTCTTGTTTCCAATATTTGGGGTGCAGAGTTTGGTTGTCCAATTCCAACAAGCCCAACAATTTGGCTTAAGCAAACAGAGGAGAGAATGTATTTATGTGCTTATCAGCTCCGAAGCCTTACTGTGATACTCCTCATTCCAGTCTCATCTGTCCTCGATGGGGAGCAAGGGATTGCTATGGTGAAGCGACAAATCCTTGAAAATGTGAGTTTTTGTTTTCTCTGCTTAGTTTGGACTGGTCCAATATTGAACTTTCTGGTGCAATTTTATTCATTCTTTGAGGTTTTTTTGCTCGTTATGCATAATTCACATCCATAAGATACACCCGAAGAGCTTTATTACAAATTTATCAACAACTTTATATAACTCAATTATGTCTGACGCATATATTAGAACTTGATAGTGGACTCCAGACCCACTAACATAAGTCGAAATGGTTGTAATGTAAACTCGAGACTGAAAACCACTCAAGGCTTAAACCTCACCTCAAAAAGGTAAAACGCCTCGGTAGGTGATTGAGCCCTTTTAAACTTAGGTGAAAATCATGTACAGATTGTTGTTTTCAAGTGGGATGAATGATGATTGGACTCGTAGGGATGGTGGACTTATAGACCAGACTAATAGAAGATTTCCAGCTGGACTGACAGAAATCGAATTTGGGTTGTCAAAGTTTATGTTTGTTGAGTGGATGGTCAAGATGTGATGGGTTTGAAATTTTTTGTCTGAAACACGTCCAATATATTATAGTTTTGAATTTCTATACATTTAAAGCGTGACTTGTCAGTTAAAATGATAAGATATATATCCTCTGGGTAATGACCTAACTCAAGCTACTATCATGCTTCACAGAATGTCAGTTTTACAAATTTGTTATGTAAAATGATATCTTGTAACATGTTGACCAGTTTTATTTTTATTATAATTTCATCCTCACGTTCCGTCATGGGTGACTGCCCCCTCTCCATCTTCTACTCCCCCTTATCTCAGCTATGGAACTTTTGTTGCTAATGAAGTATGGTGGCCATTGAAATATTGGACTTTTGCTTTGACGTGTTATGGATATTTGGAAGATTAGCCTTTATCATAATAATAACATGTTTATGTTTTTAAAAAAATTAAAAAAATGCAGCAATGTGTTTTCTCTGGTAAATGTAACAATGTCGTAGTTGGTTACTTGTAGCATTTCCGTTTCTGTGCAAACCTTACGTAATAGTCACTATATTTCAGGCATCGCTAAAGATGTTCTGGGTTGAGGAGAAACTATCGAGAGGATGGGGAGGTGAGAATGCATATCATGTTAGTGGGTGTCGTTATTTACTGGTGGATGGTGATAGAAATATATCTCGGGCTTCTCCTCCTGGAAAAGTAACAACTTTGACAAAGGTTATTCCTGTTCCTTCACTAAGAGTGATTTGCATTATTCTTGTCTAGTTTAGCCTGTAGCTATATTTATCCAACGGTTTCATGTGTGGTTAAGTACCCACTTATTATTTAGTTTCTTTTATTGTTTGGGAATTGAGTTTACTCTGTTTCATTCATGTTTTAAGGTAGGTTTAGTTGCTTAAGTAGCAATCTTGTCTTCACATGGCTGCAATTCTCCTATAATGATAAATTAGGAAACATTTGAATGATTTATTGTAGTAAAAAGATTAACAGATTTCCAATCTCAGAGACGTTACTTTTAAAGCCTCAGTATTTCTTCAAATGTTATAACTACTTTATGAAGATTTATAATTATTTCATTATCTTGGACCGGTCATAATCATGGAATTTTTTTCTGAAACACCTTAAAGCCTAGGCGGGATTTTAGGTCTCCACCTAGACCAATGGGGGTACCCCTACGGCCCTACTGTCTTTGTTGATACAAGAGTGAAATACTTGTTGTTGGGGGGGGGGGGGGGGGGGGGTTTTCCCCCCCCCCCCCCCCCGGGCCAACAACATTTTTTTAAAGGTATTTTTTATTTTTTTGATAAAAAAAATTAGTTTTTTATGTGTAATTTTTTTTTTTTTGGGGAAAAATTCATATTTAAGGTGTATTCTTTACACCATTTTAAAATTCAAGTAAAATGTTTGAAAATCCAAAATTCAAGCTTAGATTTAATTAATTAAAAATATTTATTAAATAAATATAATAAAGTCACGATTAAATAATTAATGGTCACAGATTTTTTTAATGGTTACATATCATCAAATTAATTGGTCACATATTATTTCGAGGTCACAAATGAAAAATCTTGTAGGTCACAGATTATTTCGAGGTTACAAATGAAAAATTTTATGGATCACATATTATTTTTTAGTCACAGATCATCAAATTTTAAAGTCACAAACCAAATCATTGAAGTCACAAATCATCAAATTTTAAAGTCACAAACCAGATCGTTCAGGTCACATATTATTTTTTAGTCACGGACCATCAAATTTTAAGGTCACAGACCACCAACAACTAAAAAAAGAAGAAAAAATACCGACAATCAACCAAAACCACCAACTTGCATCACCACAACCGCCGCCGCCGCACTCTACACCACCACCCACATCGCACCAACAGAATTGACTTCTACCCACATTGCACCAACAAAATCGCACACATACCACAAATCGGCCACCTCCACCACCTGCATCAATAACCATCATCACCATCCACAACGCACCAATACATTCAAAACCACCACCAAACGCCGACCACAACTAGACCACCACCGTCGCCATCCTACCTAGATCCATTGCACTCGACACTACATGAAGTCACCAAAGCCACCCATATCCACGCTGGATAGAGAAATCGTTTGCAGACCACCCCCAACCGTCGAAATCACAAATCAAAAAATGGCAACAGTTGCACCAGATCCACCACTACACCACCGTAAACACCACACCACACTACACAAAACACCATCAAAACCTTGCGACAGTGGTTCCTGTGCCGCGTTGAAGCGGCGAAGCACCTCAAAATGGCGAGCGACCGTCGCTAACGATGCGACGATGTGAAAGGTAAAGCATCGCTGCAAGACGACGTCAAAGGCTCTCTCTGACTGTGGGCGGCGGAACCGTATGTTAACGGGAGAAAGTGAGGAGAGAAGATGCTGATTGCTGTGTGAAATGAATTTTAGGGCCGAATTGGGGATGAAATATTTTGTGTTAATATTAATAATTAAATTCATACATGAAATCTGCATAAAAAACCATCTCACCTCATTTTTGCACTGAGATCTTTAAAAGTCGGGAATTTTGTAATTTCCACTAAAAGAAAATCAGCCAAACCCACAATAAACATAAAAAAGGAACACCACCCAACTATTTAACAATCTTAGAACGCTTCTTCCTCACCACACCCAAAATCATAGATCGCTTCAATGGACACCACACCCAAAATCACAACCTCGTCGCCCTTCGACTGAAGGATGAGGCATGGTGGAAGGAATCGTTGCAGATGCTCCGAAGAATTGGAATTTCGGCTCACATCGATTCGGGTAAAATGAAACTAATGGCGCAGGCACTTTACTACACGTGTTGAATCCATGAGACCCATCGACCCTAAACCGTCGCCTTCATTGCCACATCACTGACCATTCCCAGTTCCCACCACATCGACAATCCATCGAACTCATCCACTTCCTCCACAAAAAACTAAATCCACTCCGACATGCAAACCGCTATTGCTTTGGTTGTTCCACCTCCAAAGTAATGGTTTTTACTGTTAGGGTCTTTAAAAAAATTTGCATACCGCCCCGAAGACGGAAAACTAGGTGCAAGGTTTTGGATGTTATAATCCGCCAACATGCGACCATCCTCAAGCCGCTTATCGAACATAAGGAATATTGATAGGGTCCACAGGAACAAGGGCAAATTTCTCCTTCTTGCAATTTTCAAACTCTTAATCGTCATATTCGACTCTGTTTATGCTGAACATGTGTGTATGCTTAATGAGGGATAGATGAATATATACTGCACAATTAACGTTTTTGATGTTTTTTGGAAGATATTGGAATTTGGGGGAGAAAGACGACAAATAGAGAATTCGTTCAAACAACGACTGAAAGGAGATGATTGGAGGGAGGAGAGTTTGATCTTCCTGTCGTGAAAAAAAAAAAAAGAAAATGAGAAAAAGTTCTAAGAACGAGGCTCTAAAACTATGTCAAAGATCCTGGATAAGACTTGATGCCTCTCCTCATCATATTGAACCAAAATTAAAATATAGTAAAATCAATCTATCTATCTTGTATCAGGAAATGGAAGTAGAAAAAAGAGAACTTTGTATTACATAATCTCTCTGTACATGGAAATCTAATCCCCTTCCTGAGCGGATCGGATGTGTATTTAACCGTAGTGGCATGTCCATGAATGCAGCCAATGTAATTTAGCCTCTATTTAACGTTTGAGTTTTTTTTTTTTTTTTTTTTCCCTGAAAAAAAATAATAATAAATAAATAAAAATTGGAGTGGTGATTTTAATACGTGGTTAAAAAATAAATAAAAGTAGGTAGAATTTTTGTATCACATATCTGCTCGTTTAGAAATTTTATTTTATTATTATTTTTTTCACATTATTATTATTCACACGTTTAGTAAAATTCACAATTTTTATTCACCCTTTATCCGTAATTATTTTGTAGAATTCATAAGTTATAATCTATCAAAGAAAAAAATAAAAAAAAAATCCATGTTTGACTAATGATTATAAGCCATTCATAATTGGTGAAATTATTATCTAAACATTTCATGGTATCCACAAACATTATATATTTATCTATCGATCATTTTTATCTATAATAATTTATATGTATCGATCCCCCCAAAAAAAAAAAAAAAAGAACCATATTCCCTTACCCTACATTTAAGTTGAAAACCACATACTCGAAAGATTCATCAAAAGCTTGATTTTATTACTTCAATCATTATTATATACATTGTCCGTGCCAGTTTGCTCTCTGGAGATATCAAAAGTGATAGCAAAGGTGCAAACGTTCAAAACTAAACAAGACGAGAAGACAAGGAAGAAACAAGAAAGTAGTCCCTACAGACAATACACGAATACTATTTTTATTGTAATTGTTGTGATAGATGAATAATAATTATAAATAAATAACATGAACAAACTTGTAATAACCTGAACCAAGTATCTACTGCCTCTTGCCCATATGGTTTTTCAATAAAAATAACATAACCATATGGGTACCTCCTCCATCCATGAGAATAAAGAACATCTTGGTTTCAAACCCACTATCCACCGTCCCCTGTCCTTCGAGGATTCAACAGGGCAAAGCTCCTGATGATATACAATTTACAATTTTACCAGACGTCACCGGGCTTGAATACTGAAGTCACTGTATAATTAACCTCAATGAGAGAGGAAAACAGTTAAAGTTGTAACTGTCCGGGACCTCTGCGCGAGGATCTTGATGGAGGCAAGCTATTATCCGGCGCCAATGAAGGTTGTTCTGGATCTTCTGGTCTTTGAACCTCCTGATCACACTCAACATGAGCAAACTTAGAAAAACAAAATGAAAAGTTATATGAAGATTAGCTTCATGAATCGACAAATAATATCGAGCATTAGCTAATCGAAGATCAATTTACAATTATTTTTTTTCCATTTTATTCAACAATATACAAAATATTCAACAAATGATTCTTCCTCACTCAAATTCACAAGAATCCAAGCTTGGCTCTGACTTGGATACACATTGCATGTTAAGCATGCATGGGAACACTGAAATCAAATGCATTATTGTACATTATGCCCTTGTTTGAGCCCCATTTGGAGGGAAAAAATGAATTTTTTAATAGTGTATTGATGTGAAATGTGTGGTTAAAAAATAAAGAAAAGTTTTGAATTTGCTTGTAATATTATTTTATTGAAGAATGTGTAGTTGAAATTTTGTCAAAACACTGTATAAGAATTCATTTTCTCCAAAGAATGGGGATCAAACAAGGGCTATATATATAAGGGGATCTCAATTGCCTAAACTCAAGTCATTTAACCCAAACTCTCTTCCTCTTCCATTTTATCATCCTCGCAGATTTAACGAAAAATATAACTAAGTTAAAATAGTCGTTGAATAAACTAGTCCAAGGATAATAGGAAATTAAGTAGACACTGGAAAGCACTACAAACCTTTGCAGATGAAGAATTGCAGCGAGACTGTGCCTGCAATTTAGAATGCATATGATGCTGCTGCTGAATGTGCTTAAACTGCTGCAGCCTTGAAATAAAGTTTATGCCATTGTACACATTAGGTGAATCATGAAATGGATCACCATCCTCTGAAATTTGTGATATTCCCATGTAATTAGCCTCCAATAGTGCACTTCCTGATGATATTTGTTCACCACTGAAGGAGTATGGAGGTACAGTTTTTAAACGAGTCCTGAGAATCTTGAAGGCTAGACTTTGCTGCATCATATAAAAATAAACTAACAGATCTTAGCGGCAGCAAATCAACACATACAAATCACATTGATATGAGCACTAACCATAATATATATCTCAACCAGTGATATTTACTCGTACAACAAATGTTAAAGCCCTTATGACACAATAATCTTAAGGTTTTATGACTGCCATGTCAGTGGTACAATCATCAAAAGAATGTTCTATTAAAAAGTATCCACAATTTCACAAGTACTTCCTGAAGGATGTCCCAACCAGGTGCATAGGAAGGAAGACGTTCTGAACATCGTCAAGAATGGAAATGAATTTTCACTTAATTATATCTGAAAATACTCAAAAACTCCTCCAATGAATAATCAAATGACTTAACATCAACCAACTTAAACTGATGAAAAATTAGCTCAAATATATATGACTTCATGGGCTACAACTTTGATGCATAAATCAAAGTCAATTGCCATGTCTATTGAGTGAATTGACCATGATCTGATAAATAACTTGTATACTGAAGCAAAGGAAGTGTTTGGATGAGAATTATTTAAAAAGCCATTCACGTTCAAAGGGCAGACTAACTTCTGGTCAGTTCCATTATTAAAAAGCACATTGAACGTGTGCATTTCCATTGTTGAATGAATACGTTGAACTTGACACGCTGCATTTTAATGTTTCAAACACCGGCAAGGTAGTAATTAAGGCAACTGCATACCTGAGGAAGCAGCATCAGAAGACCATACAAAGCTTTGAGCAACCACATATATCTTTGAGGTTCAAGAAGCTGCAAATGATTTGTCAGAAAACAAAATCGATCAACTAATATTTAACATGACATCAAAACTATAAGTGGTGATGAAGTGATTGATCATTTTTAAGAACTGGTGAATACGTCCTCTAGCAGGTGGGGATAAAAACCAAGAACCACAAGTTTAATCCTTGAACCCTTGCCATATCTCCCACGCCCTAGGGACGGCCACTAAATATGTTCAATCATGTTCAGATGTAAAGATGAGATTATTCAAGTCCTCAGTCCCCTGCTCTTAACATTAGAGTGAAGTAACATGAGTTAGGAAGCATGAGTGTCAATGCACACACACACACACACACACACACACACACACATTCACATTCATATATATCACTAACACCCATAAACATCAAGCAAAGGTGGTTTATGTACTTGTGGATATAGAGAAGTACATCAAATAATACATACTGTATGAGCTATTACAAATGTAGAAGATACAAGTCATCTACATCTTTACATATGCATGCGTTCATTACAAGGTTATTGGCTTGCATGCATCTATAGATACTAAATAACAAAATTAATCACAAAGCATTGGTTTTATAAACTACCCAAGATGAACACATGTTCGTCAACACCACACACACTTTAGAAATTACTATTACCTGTAACCTAAGGTACGCAAATGTAGGAGTCTCCACAAGGTGGATCAGTTTGTCCAACTGGACCAAAAACTTAACATTAATATCTTCCTCAACCAGTGATTGGATAATGGAACAAGCGTGCTGATAAGTCTGCAAAACAATCTGAGTAAGAGGTAGCACATCCTAAGTTTTATCACTAAAAAGTGATGGAGAACAAGGGATGTGGTGGCTGAAAATTTTTTGACAATGAAATAAAAAGCATTTAACTGGAGGCTTACTTGAGCTAATAGGCAAAGGCTTATTATAGCCCCTGGTGAATGGCACCATGAAGCATATAACGAAAGAAATAATTTCTTGCCAGCATCATTGAACATTGATTGTTTCAGGAGGTCACGTAGGTCAGACAACTCGGTGGAAGTGAGCAAAATTAAATTCAATGCCTGAAAAAAAGAAGAGAATGTGCAAACATGCTTCATCACATGCACAACATATAATTTCTTACCTATACGATTCCACAAATAATGGCTGGAAAACAAGGCTGTACAAAATTTTAACAATATCTCATCTCGTTATGAAATGTAAAACGTGAGAGTTTTCCTGTTTTGAATAATGCAATAACCTGAACCATAATAGATGCAAAATCCAAATCAGATTCTCCTTCCAGAATTGTGGAAAGCTTCCGATAAACTGTTTCAGCGTGCAACAGCACACAGAGTCGGCGAATTATTAGAGCACCACGTCTGTGAGAGAATTAAAGAACAGTATTCAATCCACTATACAAGTGTATCAGACAATTATTTCAGGATAAATCAGCTGGGATAAGAAACTACTTTTCCAGCAGAGAGTGGTCCACCCGAAAATTCTGAACTAAATAAACAATCAGATGGTGGAAATGTTTGTCATCTTTGGCTATGCATGCATGGACATCAAGTACCAGAAGCACTACCTGGGAGGAAAAGTAAAACAAGAAAAAGATTATGAAAGTTAAGGCATCTTGCACCTCTCATTTTTATCCATTTTTCTGTCCATCCTACCAGATAACGAACTACTGAAGGCAATAAGTAAGAAAGAAGGATATCCTAGCATCAACAAGAATTTACACAAAACTGAAGGTTAACCATACCCAATTGCCTATTATCACTTTTTTTTTCAGGGGGTGGAAACCATCCATATCACACTCCCAAATCATTATTTTGGGGTGCCTGATATCAATAAACATCTCAGTCTAATATTATGTTGAGTACGAGCTCTTAAAAGCCAGTCCGAGATTCTCGCAAGACAGACCCCCTTCAATTGTAGACATTTGACAAGAGCAATCTCGCAGGAAGAAGAAAGCAGACAGAGCATGTTCTAATTCTGACTATCCATGCAAGCAAATAGACAGCGAAATCATTTTAGCCTGGACATGGGAAGAATTCCTAGTAACACTATAGCCAGACTAGGAGGGCATTCTATCAGCTACTCTTAAAGCAGATGAGAAAGAACCAATAATTTACCCTGACTCTATCCATTCCATAGCTGTGCAGTCCTTGAGGAATCATTGCTGGTAATGTTTATAGTACAGCAGGTTGACTTCAAGTAATTGAGAGGATGATATGCTATACACTAATTTTTGGTCCTCTTAATGTTAGTGCACTGTTTGCAAGAAAGACCTAATAAAGCTTTTAAGAGTGTCAAGAATTTAATATGTGGAACCCAGGGAACTTTTTCTCAATGTCGCGCACAATTAATAAATCCTTCATATGTACCTGGATGAATTGTTTCCAGATTCTAGAGCTTGCAGCTTTTACAATGAAGAAAACTATTTATTCTAACTTGTAACCATTTATATAATGTCCAGTGTTTCTATTCCATTTCCTTTACCTCTTCTTAATTGAGTGTAAAGTACATGTAAATGGGTTCCTCTTATACTTGTTCTCCAAATAAGAGAAAGCGGGGCAATACTCATATCACTGAAAGCCATTACGGGGTTTGAGTCCTCTAAAAGATTTGGTTTAATTTATCCCCCTTAACATAAAGAGGAATGAAGAAGAACATAGAAGACGAAGATGACAATGAAGACAAATTACCAGCATCATTTTGAATCAAAAAAACAGAAAAATATTCATATCCAAAAAGACATTCCCTAACCAAACTGCTAGCATAAGCTTTGACTAATTAGTATAAAAGGCAAACAAGCTCAATTTAACTGATACAGAAATCTGTAGGCAAAATGAACAATCATAAAATAATATAAAATTAAATTGAAAATAAGCAATTCATGAATGACAGAAAAGGCAGCAGAAGATGATACCTCATCAGAACGATCAGAAAGTGCCTTCAGAAGGGTGTCGAAAATGTCATTGAGAAAAGACAGAACCTGTTTTTGTGAAAGTAGTAAATGAAATCTAGTTCATCAAAGCAAGGTCTCACCAAATTTTCAAAATCAGCAACATAAAAGCTCAACATTGCCAATAATGAGACAATAATAAATAGCAAGTTTCTAACAAGGTATCTATCAGACATTGCAAAAATACAAAAATGAAACCAGCGCATACGGAGGATGCTGATATACCATGTAAAAGATAAGATTTATATCACGTCTCATTAGATAGTTTAATCATAAAATGGTCGAAATTTAAACAGACTGCAGTTACATTTCCTGATGCTTATATTTATGAAAGTTTACAGTGTCAGTCCATAAATTAGCAACAGAGTACCATCCTGAGACCTGCTAAACTGTCACCACTGGATTTATCGACAAAAGACAAGCATGAAAATTTTTCCTAGTGTAAATGTATGTGCAGGCCTCCACCTCAACAAAATCAATAAGCTCAAATCTTTGAGCACAGGCATATGAAGGATTGGATCTTATACATCATGGATAAACGGGAAAAATGAAAATGGGGTGTAAATAACATATATAAATACCCATAAATACTTCTACAGGTCAAAGCATGGGTCACTCTCCACTGCCAATGTCATTTAACAATCTCTTTCTATTTTCTTAAACCAATACGAACAATTACTTTCATCCGCAAATAACATTTCTTCTCAGGTTTCAAGTACAACATTAAGTCATTAACAAAATTCATACAGGTCAATTACAAATAGTCAAATACACCCACGGTCTCGTAAAGGAGGTAGCCCACGATATGAGCGGGGGGAACCAATATAGGCCCTGCAGGGACAATTTCCCCAGTGAGCTCAGGCTTGCGACATTAGTCTTTTCCCACTGGATATTGATGTGATCTAGTGTGTAGCTTGTAGAATTGAAATTTTGCACTCAGCGAGTTAGCCACAGCATTTCCTTTTTTTTTTTTGCCTCATTACAGCATGTCTTCAATGGGCTAGTGTCCTTTACATTTTACTTTTAATAATTTATTTTGGCTAGAGTAATTTACCATTTTTATAAAATGAAAAAGAATTTGTTTGCTAATTTATTTACAGTGATGATTGATGAACTAAATGCAAAATTAGCAAATTGGAATTTACTGGCTCTAAATTGGAAATTAAAGATATATTAGGTATATAGTACAAGATGCGAGTGTATAACATACTTAAAAAGATTTTAGAATCAACTTTTTCACTAATATTGTATAGTTCATTTACCAAATCCTAAATTAGACAAAATATGTAAATGATTAGTTGTAAATTTCATTACTCATTATGTTCAATCCAACTTACTAGACCATAGACATTGCATTTTTTTCCTAGATTGCACGTATATTAAAGAACATGTGGATTCATTTTAAAAACAAATATATCACTTTCAGATTCATATACCTCGCATCAAATAAAGAGTGGATCTACATGAAACTAATCTTCAAATACGACAATTTAACAGTTTAAAGAGAAACAACGAATGTGCCATGGAATATATGATCGAATCTCTTTTTCCCATATTTAAGTCTTGCCCCCACTGAACCGAAATTCTGGCTCCACACCTGGTTATGAGCAATGTAGAGGATCAGCAAGGAGTCTTTCAACACAACAATTTTTTCCCAACACACAGGCCAAACTAGAAAGCTCACTGAAAATTGACTACAAATCTAATGACTGCCCACAAACTGAATAGATAAAAGTTGGTTTATGGACTTCAACATATATTCAGATTCATAATTGCCAAAAGTTAGGATTGAGTTGCTAGTTGGATTATTTCAGGATCGTAGTCGTTGGAGTATTAGTTGGGCACCAATAATCTAGTAACACTAGCACATGAAGTCTTTCCCTAAAGAGATGATGAGTTTCACATCATTGATAAGAGATGTCAAAATAATCTTCCAGGTATTTGCGCAGGAGCACAAGCTTAAATTGAACCAACACCACAATCGGACAATCCATATAGGAGTTCAAGTCGTCGTCAATGACTTGTCCTATTCTTAGGTTATATAGATCTTTGGACCAGAAGAAACATATTGTCTTGTGTACGAGTTACTAGACTACATTATGTCATGTCAACCTTGTCTTAACCGGAGGTTTGATCCATGATAACAAACAAGGAGAACGTCCAATGAAATCTAAAAGTGAATACGAGTTGAAAGTCCTCAGCCAAGGTAGAAGGAAAATTAGAAAGAATTCTATCAAAGCACGTATCACTTGATTGCTCATATAATTGAAGGCCAGATAAGTCTGGTTGCCAACAACTGCCTTAGAATGGGGCCCACTACCAAGCCCTTGACACAACAAGAATCTAGCACCAATAGGTCCTTCAGCACCAACAGGAGGGGCCCCAGAAACTGCTAGTCATGATTGACAAGATATAACGCCAAGGAGAATTAGAAAATATAATGTAGAAACACATGGTGAGTAAATTTCATATGCCTTGCTCGTCAAGAATTGAAGTTCAAAAGGTTGAATTTTATTAAGGCATCAGGGCAAGCAACAGAAACAAGTATTAGGAATAAAAACAATCAAATCTCTCAGTTCTCTCCATAAACCGTGGAACACAAAAAGGTCTTTCCAATTAATTAGAAATGTTAGCTACTATAGCTGACCAATACAAGAACACTGAAGTGCAACAGAAGCAGTTATAAAAATCAACAAAAAATAATGTAAAACATCTAAAAAATTGGAAAAGGAAGATTTCCAAAAATAGCAAAGGAGTCAAAATTTATATTATATCGTCATTACCTCTGTTCGATGTCTATTTAGAAGGGTTAATATCCAGTTCAGTGCTTCAATACGTGTTGTCTCCAATTCACTAGACAAATGCCTGATACATAAAAGTAAATTCTAAACTTGGTGGATTACGATTACTCTGAGGCATTTCAAAATAATACATCTTATCTTAAAAGGAAAAGAAAAATTATTCTACCCAGCTTCTTTTGTCACCATCTGAAAGGAACAGCACGTTATTGAAGCATATGAATGGCAAATTTGCAATTGAACCAAATAACCGAGTATTTTACAGGGTAAGAGAAAGCTACCTCCTTGCTACCGAGAGGATTGCACCTACATCAAATCCTTCTGTTGGATCAGTCTTGATTCCACGAAGTTCATCATTTGTCTCACGAGCAACCTAATAACAAAATTTAACCACGGAGCACTCGTAAAGTATTGAAGTTGAGCCGTTATTTACTTCAAGAAAGAATATAATTTAACAACTAATAGCGAATGTGAACAACGGTGGACAGTTCCTTCGAAATGGATATGTTCAATAAATCATGGACAATGATAAAAATAAGTTGAAGAAGCAATGAACTAAGACGTTGAAAGGAAGATTTTAAAAATGAAAACTTACAGCTCTTATTTTCTCTTCTCTGTCTGACGTGCAAGGTAGAATGGCCCCAAGAATATCAGCATAATAAGGAACAAGTTGATCACCACCAAGTTTCACAAACTCATTAATCTGCAGAGCATAGCAGTGTATTGAAACTCATTTGAACAAATTTAAATAAACTGGAAATATCTTGCACGCAAAAATCTGCTCAGCAATTGGAATAAGCAATTTGCGATAGCAATTGCGTCTTTAAATGTTCTTACCCAAGTAATAGCAGTCAATCGAGTAAACTCATCAAGCGACGCTGCCCTCTGGACCAGTATTTCAGTCATGCGACCATAATCTACAGACTTAAAGAGTAGCACTGCTCAAGTCAGGAATTAAAAATGAAAGTAAAATTTGAGTGTTTGTTAAAACAGACTTGGTACTCATGTGAATTAGTACGCACATAGCTAGCAATAGAATTCTAGAAGATGAAAAGAGAGGAAGTAGAAAGAGAGGGAGAGGGAGAGGAAGAGGAAGACATGAGAGATGTATGAGGAGAAAGACACAGAAATTGCATTGTATTTAGTCATCAAAATACATTTTTCTCTACCTTCTTTTTAACCACACATTCTTCAATAAAATAATATTACACGTGAACCCAAAATTTTTCCTTCTTTTTTAATCACATATTCTTCAAAAAAAAAATCACTATTCCAAAATATATTTTTTCCAAAAACAGATTATAATGGAGCCCAAACAGGGGCTTAATAATAATAACTGTTGACGGCTGCGAAAATTTTCCCAGAGAAAAAATATAATGCACAAGTATCACCAACTAAACAAGTCCCACATAAGTTAATAGAGGTGTAATTTATAAATCTTACTGGAGAGTTTTTTATTTCTTGAAGAAATTCTGAGAGTGCTGAGTCTGCTTGTTGCCTTATTTCATGGCTGGAATCACTTAGCATGTTAAATAAGCCTGCAATTTCATCATGTGTGTGAAAGCATGGCCGAAAAGCTGCCAGAATCTGTCAAACCTCAAATATGAACACTCACCATCAAGAAAATCAGGAAGAAAGCCCAGCATATCTATATCCGGGACACTGTCAAGAACAGTAATCCATCCTACCAGAAATTGTCGCACAAATGGGTTTAGGACACTCATTCGTTCTCTCAACAATGGTATAAATTCTTCAATGCTGTGTCAGGATAGAACAGAAACAGTTGGAAGTTAGAGAAAAAAATTTTCCAAATAAATTTAATAACTTTATCTGACAAATAGTATTGAAACTAGAGCAAAGAGACAGCAGACCTGAACTGATCGCTCTCTGTCACAATGTCCTGCATTCAAATAATTGCCAAAGCACCATGCCTAAGCACATTTTTGAAATAAATTTGAGAAAATGACAGCTATAGACAAGAAATGAAAATTATCCACCTTTACGAGTCTATCCAAAAGATGAGCAGCATTCTGTACATTGGCATCCGAGTCAGCTGAAAGCTTACACAGAGCATCAAAAATCTGATTGAAGAACACTATAAAATCTCCCCTCACAATCTACAAATTAGCAGGAACAAAACCCAATGACATAAATGGTGCAGCCAAAAATACATGTAGGACAAAACCACAATATAAAAGTACTTGGTTTATCTCTCACCTTTGCAATGTTATACAGAGCTTCACATGCATAATAACGAACTCTGCTATCTTGATCAGAAAAGGAATTTAGGACTGGTGGTACAATTTGCTGGCAGATAGAAGTCCAGAAAGCAGCAAAATTGAGTAAGAGCAAACTTCTGGTACCAATATCTCAAGAAAGCTTGTAAAATATTTTGTAAGCATGCCATACTTAGATAAGGAATATCTAGAATGAAGAATAAATTAATTAGTTGGATCGATTCACAAAATCAGATAGCATGATATTGAGTTTTCTTGCTAGTGTGATTTCTGTAGAAATTTAAATAACAACATTTCCATTACATTGGGATATAGTCGAGCAAAAAAGGATTATGTTCCCCAGTAAAGTTCTAGAGTATCCAAGACTCCCAATATAACCCAATCTCATTGCTGAGTGACAAGACTCTCATCTTCACATAGTTTTGAAAAAAATTTAAGCAGTATCTACTTCTCAAGAATCGACAGAGGATCCACCATTTATGTCAATCTTTCAAGTCCCAAGTTAATATGATAAGATACATATTTGGTGGATGTGATTCGACAATATACAGAAACAAAAATTTCAAATCTTTTTTTCTTTTTATAGGTAATCAGATAATTTTATTACTTAAAAGAGAATACACGGGAGATGTACAATCACTTTAAGCCAATAAGGAACAACATGAAATTAGGCAACCGTCCACAAGATTTTTAGCCACGGCACTAAACCAAGAATATAAAGTAAAGTAAAATATTTCTCTTATCTGCTCTCTTGTCTTTGTTTGGTCTTCGAAGCAGTGGTTGTTCCTTTCTCTCCACACGCATCATACAATGCAACCCGAGATAAGGTTTCATGCTAGTTTGCTATCCTTATCATGAAGTTTTCTCCTTCATGCCCGTAGCACGTCCTCTATACGACGAGACAGCACCCAATTCATAGATTGAGAAGCCAATATAGTGTTCCAAAACCAACACCATCACAATGAATGAACAGATGATCGATCGTCTCCTCATCCTTCTTGAACATATAACACCACTTAGTTACATAAAAACCTTTATGTCGAAGATTATCCACCGTTGAGACATGTCCCCTCACAACTATCAACAATAAGAATGCCACCCGAGGAGGCAATTTACATTGCCACACCAATTTCCAGGAGAATGAACTATCCACAAATCTCAGGAGGAAACTAAAGTAAAAGCGAACTGAGAAAATACCATCTCGTGTTATCCTCTACCTGCTACAATCACCCTCTCCTACCCAAATTTGTGCCTCATGTAGAGAGGTCATAAACAACGAATAATCATCCAATTCTCAATCCTGTAGACCCCTCCCAAAAGTAATATTCCAGCTATAGCTCCCATTATGAATGACTAATACATCACTCACCATAGCAAAAGACACTGAAGCAATGCGGTTCAAGGAAGGAAATCCCTCCTTTAGCGGTTGATCTCCACACCGACAATCATCCCAAAACCTAATATCATTACCATTTCCCACTACAAAATTCAGTTTGTCTAGAAAATCACTCCATCCCCTTCGGATATACCTCCACAAACTCACCCCATAAAAACCACGATCCTCAACCGTACACCATCCCTCTCTCTCCCTCTCCACTCCAAATCGCCACAACTACTTGCCTAATAAGGCCTTATTAAACAACACAAAGCTCCTTACTCCAAGGCCCCCATCCTCATAAGCAAACAGACAATACCCCAATTGACCAAATGGAGTCTCCTCTCCTCCCCCAACCCTGCCCACAGAAATTCCCTTTGAAGTCTCTCTAATCTCTTTGCCACTGCAACCGAAATGTGGAACGACAAAAAGTAAGTAGAGAGATTGGAGAGAGTGGATTTAATGAGAGTAGGTCTGCCTCCCTTAGAGAGGTACATACACTTCCACCCTACTAACCTCCTCTCCATCATTGCCACAATACCATTCCAGATATGGATACTTTTAAATTGTGTCCCTAATGGGAGCCCTAGATATAACATAGGCAGCCGCGCAACCTTACAACCCAATATATCAGCCAACTCCTCCACATTATCAACCTCCCTTACTGGAATAGTCTCAGATTTCCCCAAATTGATTTTCAAACCAGACACTACTTCAAAGCATAAGAGCAGACAACGCAAGTTCCTGAATTGTTCAACATCTACATCGCATAAAATCAGCGTGTCATCTGCAAATAACAAATGGGACACTTGCAAGTGATCAACCATAAAACCCCTTATCAAACCCGCTCCCACAACTCTTTCAAACATCCTACTGAAAGCCTCCATCACAATAACAAATAACAGTGGAGACAATGGATCCCCTTGCCTCAAACCTCTACTACTCCGAAAATAACCCTCAGGTGTTCCGTTGACCAAAACTAAGAACGAAACAGTTGAAATATAGAATTGAATCCATTTACACCACTTATTGCCAAAGCCACAACGCCTAAGCACATACAACAGGAATCCCCAATTTACATGATCATAAGCCTTCTGAATATCGAGCTTACATAACATCCCTGGGACCCTTAGACACATTCTTGAATCTATGCATTCATTCGCTATAAGCACATAGTCCAAAATATGACGCCCTTTCATAAATGCATTCTGAAACTTGGACACTACTTTCACCAGCACCTCCTTTAATCTGTTTGCTAGAACTTTCGCAATAATCTTATACACCCCACTGACAAAGCTAATAGGGCGAAAGTCCTTAATATCAGTCGCTCTAGATTTCTTAGGGTTCAGCACAACAAATGTAGCGTTAGAACTTCTCTGGAACCTGCCACGTTCAAAAAAATAAGTTAGAGTATCCACAATGTCCAGTCGCACCACATCCCAACACGCCTTGTAAAATGAAAACGAGAAACCGTCCTGTCCAGGAGCCTTATCATCGTTCATACTAAACACTACCTCCTAAATTTCATCCTCCCCAAATAGTCTGTACACCCAACTGGCATCATCCTCCGTGATAGTAGAAAAATCAAATCCCTCCAATTCTGGCCTCCATTCAAATTGCTCCCGATAGAGATTCTAATAGAAATTCACCCATTGGCTTCCAATTTCCTGTGGTTCCTCATAAGTAACCCCATCCACCTCCAATACTGTGATGAAATTGTTCCGCCTATTAGAATTGGCGACCCTGTGGAAAAATTTAGTGCATTTATCCCCCTTTTTCAACCAAGTAACCCTATATTT